ATAGGTCTTTAGGAGCAGATTGGCCAAGCATCTTCAATTTTACATCTGAGGGGGGTGGGGGGAAGAAGAAAATATATGCACTATGGAGCTTATTTGCACCCTGCTTGTGAGGAATCACTTTCTGGTTACATCATTTAAATAAGCACATTGTCAGTTTAAGAAGTCTTACAAGGTGCTGACTTAAGTTAATGTAGTTGCATAGGAATTCAGATTGTGAGACAAAGATATTAAAGAGGAAGCAGCATACTAAGTCGTATACATTAGTGTACAGTCTTAAGTAGCAGGCTGAGATAAAAATGAGTAGGGTGACAAACACTGTCAAGAAGCTAATACTAAGAATCATTTAGGCTAGAAAACACATCATTCTGTCTTTTAAGCGATAATCCACATGTATTATCTGTCCTGCAGTCGAACAAATGCTTTACAGCTGGAGACAAGTTTTCCACAGAGTGCTTGATGGTGTCCATACTCTCATGTGTCTGAGGCACAAGTCTGGCACTTCTCCAGTTTCTTTTTTTCTACCAGGGAAGTTAACAGTGCTCAGCAGCTAGGCATCCCTTCAGTAATGCAATGCTCCTTAAATTTGTACTATTTCACCATCTTTTTGCATTTTGAACCCATGCTTTACTCTCTGGTAAGCAATACTTACATGGCTTTTCCCAAGATATATCTTCCAGCTGTCTCCTGTGCACAGGGCAAATTTTGCAAAAATACCCCATCCATGAAGTGTAATCTCCTAAACTTCAGGCTGATACGGGCAGGCAGTGGTAGTTCCAAAAGGATTTCGTTAATAATGTAACAGCAGCCTCATTGATTCTGACAACCTATTGACCCAGGACTCACAGCACAGCTTGAATCTACCATGACAACGTGTGCTACGGTGCCAAAACTAGATCTACTAATAGTTTTGAAATGAGAGGCTTCTAATCTACTTTGGCCTAATGCAGAATGGCCTCCTTGCCTCAGATTCCCTGCAGAATTTCAAAAGACCGCTGAGCTTTTTTTTTTTTTTTTTTCCCCTGCAGTCAACAGTGAAGATAGTGACTTCACCTCGAATTACTAACCCACTGGCACGGTTCGTCAATGGTCTAGATCCTCTCAATTACTCTCAGTGAGAAGGTCTGAGGAATCTTTGCTATGGACTGTCCAGGCTCTGTCACAGAACGCATGCAATAACTCCTGGTACAGTACTTCTCAGCAATGGCACAAATTCAGAGCAGGCTTGACACACAGCCCAGTACTAGAGGCCTTACAGTGTCTTTCAAATCACCTCTCATTGACCTTATGACAGGCTACCAGATCAGGATCCTCCGCCCTTGATGTTAAATGTAAGGATCCTTTCAAAATGCAGCAGCATGTGGTTTTGCTTGGTGGGTGCATTTGATCAGTCCAGAGCGCACACTTCTATAATCCTTAAGATGTCCATTTCTGTTGCCTGTTCCATCTCACAAGTGAAACTCAATGCCTCAAAACAGTGTTCTCTCAATTTTGGGGAAGGGAGGAAAAAAATGCTACTGGGATAGCATACTATTTCAAGCAGAAATGTAACTGGCCTTCTCTGAACCATTGCTTGATGGCAACAGGGCCCTCATTGGCTTTGTTGGCACTAGTTCAACATGTTTTAGGTGTAGGGTTTTAGGTACCAGTCCACCAGAATCTTCATGCTCCTGTTTATCAGCATCAGATTTTGACTCAAGTTACCAGTACCGACTCACTGTGCAAAAAAGACTTCCACAGAAGCAATATCTTCTGCTTAGCAGCTTTCACCTGCACCAGTTACCAAATGCTCAAGAAAATCATTTCAACAGGGAAGAATCAGGCAATCAAATACAAAAGTCACTAATCCGCTCTGGCATCCTCCTCTTTTCCCCTGTGGGATCATATTTCATGAGACATACTTCTACACTGCTAAAGGATATCACCTAAATAGTATTATCTTCACTGATTAATAAAGACCAACTCAAGACATGCCACAGCACTTAAGTGGTATGTACTTTCCCCAGACGGGGCTCTATATCCCTCTTCCTGTCTGAAAAGCTGGCTGGTAAAAGGACAAGAAAAAAAGCTCACCCACGCCACAGATTCTTTAGAACCTCCTTGCAGGCATTTTGGTGTCTCAGCTCATACTCATCCAGTTTGCAAAGCTCACTGGAATGCTTCTACATCTTCGAGAATCTTTCTATTTCAGGGTAGGTTTTGGACCTCCATAATGCATATGCATAGGACTTCATCCTACCACCGTGGCAAAAACAAAACTGCCTAATCTTGGTAAGTCACATGACATCTCTCTTGTGAGATGCCTCAATCCAAACTATCCCTATAAAGTTTTCAAGCCTGGCTTCCCCACTATATGGTTTCCTCTGAGTCCCAATGCCCCCTAGAATACCATGCCTTGTAAGATACAATCCTACTACAGTGAAGAAGTCCTTGTATGCTGCAAGAGGATGCTTCGCCATTGCACTCACCTTATCAGTTATGGTGAATGGCACTGGCAAGGCACTCAGGGGTATGACTGCGCAAGGCCAGGTGGTTTCAAAAGAGAGATTACTCCCAAACTCGCAGAAGCCAGAGCAATAAGCACTCTGTGTAAAATGCTTCAAACCCTATCATGAGGCCTGACCATCAGCAATGTGATGACAAAAACACAATTGGTAATGCTCACTGCGTGAGGTGGTTTAATGTTTCTGCACCTCTTTTGGCTGATCTTTAGAAACTACTACATTTAAAGACAAATACATGCACCAGTGACCCATCTCCCAGTTATCATCAATATTTAGGCAGAAAGGCAGACTTTTCTTTCATACCAGATTGAGGGGAATATAAGGTTCAAAGTCCTAGATGACAATTCCAGAACAGGACTCAACCTTTTGGCCTCAAATATCAAAGAAAACCTTTGGCTTTTTTTACTCCTAAATTTTTATCGAGTATGATCATGGTTCTACTGTTAGGGAGATTTGTGTACATTTTCCCTTTCATTCTCTGATCCTGAAGTTTTTGACCATATTGTGACAAATTGTGTCTACTGTCACCATATTGTGATCCATGTTCACCAACTGCTGAAGAGCCACTTCTTTTCTTTTTTTTCCCTTCTTCTTCTTTTGGCCTCACTTACTCAATTCCTGCATGTACCATCTTTCTCATCCTCAGAATAAAAGCGGTTCTCTTAGTTATTAAATTAAGAAGGAGATCATTTAGATTTCCAGAACAGTTCATGCTGATCCAAAGGACAGACCTTCTCAGACTGGGAGGGACTTTGTTGTTAATAAAACAAAATGTTGTTGTTAATACAACAAAGAAAGTAACTACTTGAAGTGGAGATTTGTGTCAAAATGCTCCTGGGGAAGACAATAGTGCTATCCACATAAACACCTGATACATATTTCTCAAATCAAACATAATTTTCAATAACTTTAGTCCTAATTTTTTCCCAGATTTTTCCCCAATTTTTTTTAATGTAACTCTGACCAGGTTTGAGATTCAGAAGCTTTTTCATTTAACCTGAATTCAAATAACTGTTCAAGCCAGCATAAGCACTACAAAACTATTACTGCAAACGCATTATAGTTTTCTCTCATAACCCGTTCCTTCTTCCTTCACCTTCTCTCCCTTGCTCCTTTCTTCTTCACTGGACACAGCCTTCATCCAAGCAAAGAAATGTTACTCGCTACCTCAATAAAATAAACTTTATTTATTATTAACCTTTATGAATTACATGCCTTAGAGTGACTTTCTCCATTCTCAATTCCTTGTTGTGATTATCACAACTGGTAACTCTGGCATCTAATGAAGTGTGAACTGTGCCTGAAGTTTTCTTTTTTTCCTTCTTAGATCATTCCAACATGCACCACCAAGGAAGAATCTCTGATGTTTACTATAAGCTAATGCTTCAGCCTTAGTATAATTAAGTTAAAATTCAATCAGCACTGAGACACAAATCTAGTCTTAATTACTTTACTACCTCTTCCTCATTCATTCTAGAGGACAGACCTGGTCTACAGGTGATTAAGACGGTATGCAGTGGAGGAAGCTTTGCTGTTAGAATCCCTAGTCATTTACCGCAGAAGAAATCCCAAAATAGATGGGCTCATTCAGAATTAAAGCTCTGTCTCCTCATTTACATGGGAAGGACGACAAAGCAAGGTCACATCAAAATCCGAGGAGGAAAAATAAAAAGGAAGGAAAAAAAAAAAAAGCCAGAAGCAAGATTCCAAGCAAAACATCCACAAAATAAACAAACAAACAAACAAGCTTCACCCCCCTCCCCCCCAAAACCAGGCATAACTCATTGCTTCAAAAGAGTCCTAAGAAAGGTATCCTCTGTTCACAGAAACCCTACTCTTACATATCATTTAACAAGTATGCAGTAATGAGCCCTATGCAAGTTTTCTTTCCCTTGTCTCAGACACGGCTACCTTGGCCAGTGCCTGATGCTGGCTAATAAAGAGATCTTCCGAATTCACGCACATACAAATCATGTATAAGGCAATATGACCCCATAATGCCAAGAGAACCTCAATAAGCTCCAAAAGATGCTCGAATAGGATCGTCAACGTGAGCACTCCCAACAGACATATAATATATGTCTGCTCTATTCATAGTACAAATGAATCCTATGAACATTCTGTCTTATGTACAGCTCCATACCAAAACCACTGACATACAACACTGGCATGCTATAAACCCAGGACAATACAGAGATTAGCCAGTCGTGTTTGTAATAAGGCAATTAATACAAAATGACAGCAGCATCATGGCTTTGGCAGTGAACGCTGCCACGAAAAAACAAATTCTATCTTTGTGTCTGCCACAGAGCAGCTGTATCATGCCAGGCAAATTACTTAGAATTTCTCACAAGTAGTCAATAACTGTTCATTTTTTATTTTCTGAGCATTTAGCTTCACCCTTTGCGTCCAACGAGCAGTGTCAAGTGCCAGCTGAAGTTAATGGGATACGTACGCTAAATATAAAGTACTCTTATGTTAAGTGTTTTTAAAACTCACATCCTTGTGAAATTAAACTGGACATCCAAATTCAGTACCGCTGACCTTTATTTTAAGGTTTTGATGATTAAGTTTGCACAGTCTACCCAGGGCCCTGGAAGAGGCTGGATCCTGTACAAAAAGAAAAAAAGTATTTTATTAAATATACTATCTTAATGCATAGGAAAGGTAGCAATCCTCTGTGCTTGACTTAACCAGTATCATCTCTTTTTTGATATGATGATGATACTATCTCATCAGTTTTTGTCGTCACGGTTTAATACTGAAAATGCATCACTGATATAGAAATTGTCAGAGGTGGAGCTGAAGTTTGAGTGATTCAGTAGGGAAAACAAGATTATTGGAGTAGGTTTGGAGATAAACACATTAGCTGCACAATTCTGCTAAAATTAGATAACAGCATCAAAACAGTTAATACTACTTACACTGGTGTTATCGATATCCCATTAAAACATTCAATATTCCCAATGGTATACAAATTCAGGAAGACAGAACCACATCAGTTCGTCATTACAGTATCAATGTTATCTTCCCTACCAAGAAATGGATGGAAGAAAGGAAAAATTTAGATTAAGACCAACAGTACAGCGGCCAGAGAGACACTGGGACTACAGAACACAAAGGTCCATCTGCAGTAATTGAAGCTCCACAATCTTCTAATAAAAACATAACAAAGACTATTGACAGAGAAGTGCTCATTTTAAAGAAATATTTACAGTTTTGAGTAGTAGTAATTGAGACTAAGATTTAATTTAGTTGCCAAATGATCTTAGGCTCTTAGTATAGCCTCCCCGAGAGCCTTCTAAATTCAGCTTCCTCCCTATTATTGACAGGGACAGAGAGCAAGTTACTTATGGCTACTTGGGTGAAGCTCCCTTCTTCTCTGAATCTGACACCTATATTCCAGAGAACCCAAACAGTTTCTTCGGGATCGTGCTTTCTTAAACTTCTGACACTCCACAGAACGCACCAGGGAGCAAGGCATTCCGCAGATTGTTAGAGGGAGCAGTTTATAAAGTCACTACAGTCTAGAATGAGGAATGACTTATTGATGTTCAGTTACTTTGAAATCACTTTTAATTCATGTCAAGTTAAGTTAAACGTACAAATAAACGTGTTTATTCACAATATCTAAAACAGATAACACAAGTTTATAAAAGGTGCAAGGCAGGGGGGAAAGCCCTACATTTACTCTACTAAGATTAAATACGAAAGTTTTTGCTTTCTTCTTTTCCAGATGCCTTGCATAGGCCTTTCCGATATACATCTTACTAAAAGACTGCTATTTCACATACTTACAGCTCAGACTGCAGGGTTTATGGAGAACCTATATCCTTACATGAGCACTACCCCAACACTGCTACACTCACCACAAGCTGGCAGTCTGGAGCCTTCTCTACATATGGCGATGACTTTTTCTTTTGGTCATGTCACCAAATCACAGCCACCTCTTACTTTGTTTTATTTATTCTTCACGTTAATTAGTTGTTTGTGAGATGATTTTTCAGCCCTGGTTTTACTTAGATTTTTAAAATCTACTTTCTTAAGTTGCAGATGTATTTCTGTAAAATATTCATGTAAAACAGAAAGAAGTTCAACTATTTCACCTGATGTTTGATATGCCTGCGTGGCTAAATGGTTCTCAAGTCACTAAGATGATAATTTAGAGAAATAATTAACCCTTGTTAGCGCCTAAGGAAATTTTCCTAATAGGCCTATGTAAAAACAGTAGAAAAGGTACAGAGATCCATGTGGAAACAGAAGGCAGGTAACCGAACCACATGTTATCATGCTTTCCATGGTATGGTTACAATGACTATAGAATTCTAAGTAAAATTCAACATGTTAACATTCTATAGCATATTAAGAGATGCTTTACGAGATAACATATTTCTATTTATTGTTATTTATTATTATTGTACGCTAAATAATCATCATAATTACCAGCCTAGAGACTGGTGACAGGGCCTTGTCAGCTAAGCTCTGAGACCTCTATTACCGACTCCATTTGCCAGATCCGGCCAAGGCCAAACTTCATTTTTAAGTAGCTGTATTCATATAAGCACACTTTTGTAATAGAGGAAACAGGGCAAATCAAAGCAACTTGGCTGCGGTATTCCATACCGGCTTTTCCATCAATTTAACTGTACCAGTAAAAACACACTGTAAGTTAAGCAAATATAACATGCAAAAAAACAAAGGACCTTCAGCACATAACATAATAGCTATCTGTTGTGATTTTGGGCAGTATGTCAGTGAAAAAAACTTAATAAGAGATTTCCAAAGGAACCATTGATCACAACAGACCAATTACTTTATGTTGACTGGCACCATCCATTTAGAAGATTCCTCTAAAGCAAATACTTTAGAAGAATGTTCAACAGGTCCGCTATTTCAAAACTGAAGCAAAAGGATCAACTGATTTATTTATATACCGTCATACATCCACCAAAACAATTTTTGAATAAGTTTCATGCATTTTAAACGTGCAGTCAACCGACGAAGACAATTCGGATTAATAAGTGGGTAGCTGCTTTAAAGCTTTGGCCAAAGGGGGAAAAAAAAAAAACAACACCTTCTACCTCTAAACATTATCTTCATGTAAAAGACGATATAGCTTTCAAAGGAAAATTTGGTACCAGAGTAGTTACTTCTGCTCCCAAAGGTAAGACATAAGTTACCATGATCAGTCACATCAAAACCAAACAAGTAGAAATCTAAGATCGCCACTAGGAATAGCGCCGAGAAAGGTCAAATTCTCACCACATCATACACTTAATCACCACTCCGCACAGGTAAGTTATGTTTAAAAAACAAATACAAGACAAATAATAAAAACAGTAGATCACTCAGTTAAATTAACAACTTTGACTAATCCTTCTCAGTCACAGAAGACAACTGAAAAACAACCGAATGTCAAAAGAGGAGAGAGGCTTTGTACAAAAAAACCCTCCAGCACACTGCAGACTGAGGTTTAGCTGGAACTAACACCGTTCCCATCCCCGATCCGGCAGCAGCTTTCCCCGCGGTGGATACCCAGGGGACCCCATTCACGCGCCACGCGGAGCCGCCCCGAGGCAGGCAGGGAGGCAATACAGACTCGTGCTACAAGAGACGCTACCCAGAGCCAGCGCCAAATCAAGTGGCTATTAGAGCACTAATACATGCAAAAGCTTTTTTTTTTTTTAATTATCCAAAAAAGAATACATGAGATTGGAACTCCTAAAAACACGAAAGCTCCCTCCTCGCTAACGACGCGACTCCGCTCCTGCTCACCGCGGGCAGCCCGCGTGCCCCAAGGCAG